TTTAAATGTTAATTATTTATTTCAATTATTTATTTAATATTTAATTACTTATTATTATTATTATTTATATTTATGGTTCATTTAAATTATTTATTTAATACTTAAATGTTAATTATTTATCTCAATTGTTTATTTAGATTTTTTTAAAGATTTAATTACTTATTTAAATTACTTATTTTTATTTTTTATATTTATTGTTCATTTAAATTATTTATTTAATATTTAAATGCTAACTATTTATTTCAATTGTATGTTTGCATTGTTTATTTAATATTTAATTACTTATTTAAACGATTTTTTATTATTTGTATTTATTTGTTATTTATGTTAGTTACTTATTTTTATTGCTTAATTAATATTTAATTTACTTGTTTTATCGAATTTATTTCCATTAGTTATTTTTTATTTCAATTAATTAATTTAATTATTTAATTTATATTTATTTAATTTATTTCAATTAGTTTATTATTTCAATTAGTTATTTATTATTTACTTAACTAAAAAATATACATAAATAATTAACGTAATTCATGAAATATTTAAATAAACAAATAAAGTATAAAATAAATAATTATATATTAAACAAATAATATACATAAACAATTAAAGTAATTACTTAATTATTCAAATAAACAATTAAATTAAATATTGATTTGTTAAATTATTTATTTAATATTTAATTTAATTTTTTATTTAAATATCTCATTAATTATATAAATTAGTTATGTATATTGTTTGTTTAATATTTAATTACTCTATATAATTACTTATTTTAGTTCTTTATTTCATATTTATTTACTTCTTTTAATTATTTATATTAATTTCTTATTTATTTTAATTGTTTATTGAATATTCAATTGTTTATTATATTTATTTCATTATTTATATTTTAAATAAAATGAAATAAAATGATTATTTTACTTAAATAAACAATTTACATAATTCATGAAATATTTATAAACAATTAAATTCAATATTAAAAACAAAAAGGCTGGCAACCCAATTCAGACGTCCAGACGGTGACGTTGTTGCCGCCTACATCGACTAAAAACTCAATTTTCGACGAGCTCCATCCCATTTTTTCACTTTTCTTAACCAATTCAACCTCAAATTCAACTTTTCCTTCTATTTTAATTATAAAAATTTGTATTAAACTCATAATTTAACATATTCAAATCTTAAACATTCAAATTTTTATGTATTAAACTCAAACATTCAAATTCTCGCATGTGTTAGACCTCAATGGTGAGTAAATTACAAAGAAACAAATCTAATCTTTGAGAAATGACAATCTCCAGCAATGGTCGAAGTGGGTCCGGTCTGAACGGTCCATAGGTAGCGTCGGTGATGAGATTTTTTCTTTTCTTTTCTTAGTTTTCTCTTTCTTTCCTCTTCTCTTCTCTTTATTTGGAGGTATTTTCAACCCTTTGGGTATTGTTTACATTTTCAGCGTTTTTTTTTTTAATGAAAATTTTTCTGTCAACAGCCATTTTTCCAAAATGGCCAAGTCAACCATCTGCCACCATTCCCTCTATAGGGGTATAGGACAACAAAAAAACCTTGAATTTAGCCATAATTGCAACGTGAATGCATTTTAATGCCCCAAAAGCTCATAAAAGAAACCCTAGTCGGAGGAAGCCACCAGAAATAATCTCAAGCGACTGCAAAAAAATACAAAATTGGGTTTTCAATACGAAACTCTTGAGAACAATCTTAAATCCCCAATTCGGGAAAATGGACCAGTCTTCTAATTCGCATAATATATAATAGGAGAGGAATTGATTATGCAAGAACTATGAGAAACACAGTCAAACCATCATCCCCTTTCTTCTGATGATCGTTTTTCATAAGAATTTTTGAATTAGATGAAGTTTCGGGGGGACATAATTAATGAAGCGGTTACAATTTGGTTAAACGAGTGAGTGATTACGGGTAAATGTATTATTTTATGATATTATTATTCATTTTAGATATATATTTAAGAATATAGTATATATATAATTACTAAGCAGTGAACTTATGTATGTGTATCGAGTTTCGGCCACTAAATTTATCTAAACGTGAACATTACTCACTAAATTCATTTCAAACCTCTAATCGGAATTGATAATATGACTAATTGAATGCATGGATGGCTCCCCTTCACACCATTACCAAATTGTTACATAAGAAAGTATCTTTCATTGCTCATTAAACTTTGAAAAACATCTTCAATTGGTGGTCAAATTTTGATCTCTAAATTTATGAAAATGACATTGGTCTGTTGTTCGATAAAAAAATGTGTACGACAAGTGTGCATGTCATGTATGAGCAATAAAGTGCACAAACGATTTTCAGGTTGTCGATTCAACAAGGAATGATTACTCAGTTACATGATAATTAAATTTAGTTTTAACAATGAAAAAATCAATAAATATGGATTTTGCAAATGATGAAAATAATTTAAAATTCTAAAAAATAACGAAAATAATCACAGACATGAGTGTTACGTATTTTCACAGACATGAGTGTTACGAATTTAGGGAGATTGATCCCAAGGTTATGAAAAGTCGTGAACCCTTCAAGAATCTCTCTTTAAAATATTCATGAGATTGTGTCAGAAAATGGAAATGTCCCACATAATTTTCCCTCTAGGGTTTAATTTATTTGCTTCATTGCAGTACTCACGAGAAAGGAGTCACAGGTAAATATTGGCCACTGAAATTCAAATTTTCAATGAATATCAATTGTAAATTAATCCTAGTACTAATTGTACCAAACATCGAAAAATATTAAAGAAAATATTTTATTCCTTATGCGATCTAATATGATGTGCCAAACATGCCCTTAATCAATAATAAAAAATTAAACTCACTCTTTTGTAATGTTGAGGTTTGTTTGAATTATTTCCTTTTTCTACTCCATCCACTTTGTCATTAGAAATATTCAATCATTGTTTGCATCATAAGCTTCGACAAAATTTTACTAGTTTAAGTTAAATATTGATAAAGTAGTCTACTTTTTGCCCTTTTGAGATTTTGAATCTTTTAATGTGTGGAATATATAAAAACTTCATTCATTAGTGTGATTCAGTTTGTTTTCTTCAGACTAGTTGGTCGATTAATTGTAACTTATAGGCTTGTTAGATCATTATGTGTTTGAAAGAGTAACCAAACCTTTAATTTGCTTTCCTTCGTTCTTTTTTGGATTAGTGGAACACATTTGTTAGATCATTGTGCCTTTGAATTGGCTGAAGTAACAAAACCATTAAGTTGTTTTCTTTCCTTTTTATTTTTTAATTTTTTTTATTTTGAGGACTAGTGGAAGACAATGGATTGCATGATTTGATGGTCAAATTGTGTATTCAATATTGTCTACATTGGAAATGAATGAAAATAAGTGCCTAAATGTTGTCATATGAATAGAAAGAAAATTTCTAGAAAAAGGAATTACATAATAAATGTAAAAATGGGGTATGAGTTAAGGCAATACTAAGGCCCTATTTGTTCCCCCCCCCCCCCCCTTAATTTCAAAAAGTATATTATGGAATAGTGATTGATGTTAAAATGTGTGGTTAAAAAAAAATTTGATTTATGTGTAATATTATTTTAATGAAGAATGTATGGTTAAAAATGAGTACTCTAGAAAAAATAATGTGGTAAAATGTAGTAGAATGATTGACAAACAAAGGCTAAATAGCAAATTGAAATGCATAATGAAAGACTTGAAGTTAAACGAAAGATGGAGAAGCACTCCTCCATTTATAAGCAATAATCCATGTGACTTATAGACATGGTGAAGTCTCAGTTAGTTTTTTTATTTCAAATACGAAACACGTAAGTTATTGTCACTTGGAATGAAGATTTTTGTTTAGTTTAATTGCCAAGTAATCAATTAACTAATGCGGTCAATATATGTAACCGGTATGGAACCCGTGTACACTTTGCTCTTGGAAAATGGCTAAAAATCTGAGAATAAGCAATCCCAGACACGAGCATAACAGTACACTTGCATAGATTGATAATTTATGGCATTTATGGCAATATAAAAAAAAATAAATTTTTCTTCAAAGTCTGCATTGCCAGCCTCTTATTCAATTAAGAAATTGCAAATTGCGCCCCCCGGGGCACATCCAAGTTGGCGCAACAATCATATTGGGGGGCTCTGGAACCAAGCGTGGGGAGTTCGATTCTTGGAAGGCACAACTTGGAAGGCAAGATTTATCTTGGAAGGCAAGTTGCTGTAAGGCAGTGAAGAGGCTCCCTTTGGGAAAGGAGTAAAAGCTGTGTGGGAACTTGGGAACCAACAAGGGCACATCCCGCAATTTACCTCCCTGAGCTGCTGAGGGGCCGGAGGTTCAGGGACGAGGGTATAGTCTAACGCAAGCCGGGACACCTCGTTAAAAAAAAAAAAAAAAAAGAAAAAAAAAAGAAAAAAGAAAGAAATTGCAAATTGCTATCAACATTCTTAAACAATATACACTTGCATAGTGTGTTGGGTGGAACAGATCCTGTGGTACGAAATCTGCATCCATTCAATAAACAAATATTTTTATTGCAAGTTGATATAAGCTTTTCTTCTAGAAATCTACATTGCCGGCCTTTTATTCAATTAAGAAACTGCAAATTGCTATCAACATTCTTAAGCAGTATACACTTGCATAGTGTGTTGGGTGTAACAGATCCTATGGTACGAAGTCTGCATCCATTTAATAAACAAATATTTTTATTGCAAGTTGATAAGCTTTTCTTCTTCAAATCTACATTGCCGGCCTTTTATTCAATTAAGAAACTGCAAATTGCTATCAACATTCTTAAGAAATATACATTTGCATAGTGTGCTGGGTGGAACAGATCCTGTGGTACGAAGTCTGCATCCATTTAATAAACAAATATTTTTATTGCAAGTTGATAAGCTTTTCTTCTCAAAATCTACATTGCCGGCCTTCTATTTAATTAAGAAACTGCAAATTGCTATCAACATTCTTAAAACAATATATATTTGCATAATGTGCTGGGTGGAGCAGATCTGATTGCTTCATTTTTGCTTCATTTTTCTATCTTTCAAGCTGTGATAGGAGAGAACAAAAATGGCTTACGCTGCTCTTCTTTCTCTTACTCACATTCTACAGCGCACCTTGAAATATGATTGTTCATATCTTCTTCCTGGTGAGAAACAACAAATCGATTCAGTCCTCAAAAAAGTTGTTTTCTTGCAAGATTTTCTTGATAAGTTTCCACAAGAGAACATCGATTTAATAGAAGGTTTGGAGAGAAAGATCAGCGATGCAGCATGTCAAACTGAAGATATCATTGAATCCTGCATTGCAGATCGAGTTCTTGAAAAATCTGCAGGTCATAGTGGTGACATCTTTACAACTTCATTCCATGAAATAGCAAAACTAATTGAAGAAGTTGATTCCATAAAGATAAGGGCAGGGAAGATCGAGGATAAGAGTGGCATACAGGAAGATTTGGAGTGCAACACCTCATCGCTTGTTGGTTCATTAAGACCAGTTTCTTCAGGCCAGAGCACTATGGTTGGTCTTGATGATGCCATGGTGGAGATCAAGGACCATCTAGTCAGCAATTCATCACAACTTGAAGTTGTGTCAATTGTCGGCATGGGTGGCATCGGTAAGACTACACTCGCTCACAACGTTTACATTGATAAATATATTGAGTATCACTTTCACATTTGTGCTTGGTTCACTGTCTCTCAAAAATATAATGTGCGAGAAATCCTACTAGGCCTCTTAGATTCCATGAAAATACAAATTGACGGGAGGAGTGAAAAGGACGTTGATCAATTAGGAGAACTTCTGTACAAGAAGCTAAAGGGTAGGCGGTATCTTTTTGTAATGGATGACATGTGGGATATCGAGGCTTGGGACAGTGTGAAGAGATATTTTCCAGAAGACAAAACTGGAAGTCGGATCCTTTTGACTACTAGGCTCGAGAATGTGGCTAATTATATCAACTCTGGTTCTCGTCTTCATCATGTGCGTTTTCTGAACGACGAAGAAAGTTGGAAGTTATTTTGTCAGAAGGTGTTTGGAGAAGGTTTTTGCCCTCTTGAATTGGAAGAAATCGGCAAGAAGATTGCCCAAAATTGTCGAGGACTTCCACTTGCAGTTGCTGTGATTGGGGGCCTCCTATCAAAGGCCACTAAAACACCACATTACTGGAGTCGCATTGTAGAAAATTTAAGTTCAGAGATAACTTCAAGTGATGATCAATGCTCTAAGATTCTTTCTTTAAGTTATAAACGTTTGCCTTATCATTTGAAAGGGTGTTTCCTATATATGGGAGTTTTTCCAGAAGATTTTGAAATCAAAGTCAAGGTACTTACCAAGTTGTGGGTTGCAGAGGGAATTCTCAAACCAGCATGCTCTAAAATGTTGGAAGACGTAGGAGAGGAGTACTTTTTGGATCTTGTTCAAAGAAGTCTTATTTTGGTTAAAAAGAAAGGGTCCAGTGGAAAAATTAAAACATGTAGAATTCATGATCTGTTACGGGACATTTGTGTCAGAGAAGCTCAAAATGAGAAGTTTTTCCATGTCATTGACAGGAGTGTTTATGATATTCAAGGAAACACTAGTATGCGCCGTGTAAGTATTCATGATAAGAAGACTTCTCTATCATCTTTTCATTTTTACAATGCAGCTAAAGGGACTCTACAGGGTGATGACAAAACACTATCTTCTTTACCGATCAAAAAAAAAACACAATCTTCTTTAGTGATGTTTTCTCACTCTTCATATACAGATTATTCTTTCGATTCCTCACCTAGGTCACTTAAAGTACTGCACATGGAGGGATTTGATGTATTGAGGTATGGAATTGGAGAATTGGTTAACATGCGATACTTCTATTACAGCTTTAGTGACCGATATGCATTAAAAAATAAACTTCGGAATCTACAAACAATAGTTTTACCGACTCATTGGGGGTACAAAATGAAAAACCCACTAGAAATATGGAAGATGCCACAATTAAGACATGTCAAGTTGGAAGACGTTGTACATCTTTCTGATCCTCTTAGTTCAGAAAATAAGGGGGAAGAAAATTCTATTGTTGTTCTAGAAAACCTACAAACACTCTCGAGGATACATAATTTTAGCTGGACGGAGGAGGTCCTAGATAGAATTCCAAATCTACGGCAATTGGGTATCTCTTATGATTATTTGACGGAGGCTGGTTGGAAAGAATACCATATCAATAATCTTGTCCATCTAACTAAACTTCAATCATTAAACTGTTCTATTGAATATACGCTCCCCAATTTCTTAGACAATATCACTTTTCCGACATCACTCAGAAAGTTGACTTTAAAAGGCACCGAACTTCATCCTTCCAAATTGCTGATTCTTGGTTCGATGCCAAATCTTGAAGTGCTGAAATTGAAATGGAATACCTTCCTTTGTCCGGAGTGGGAACCAAGTGAAGGAGAGTTTCTTAAATTGAAATTTCTACTATTACACGACGTTGAACTGAAGTACTGGATAGCTGATAGTATCCACTTTCCGAGTCTCGAGCACCTAAAAATTTTTGATTGCGGACTGCTGGATGAGATCCCTAGTGGTTTTGGAGAAATTTCAACTCTTCAATCCATCGAGTTGTATGTCTGTTGTGATTCAATTGTAGAATCAGCAAAGAAAATAGAAGAGGCACAATTGGATTGGGGGAACGATGCGTTCAAGTTAATATATTGAGAAGTACTAAATGTGATGAGTTTCAAAGTTGTCTATTCCAATAATTTATTGGTACCATTTTCTTTCGTAAACCTTTCCATTTTAAATTTTTCGCTTTCTTGTCTTTATCTACATTCATACATCTCCTCCTCTGAATTTGATACAGTCTGCAGTTCAAGATATGAGAGCTCAGTTTACCAACTTCAATGCAGATGCTGTGCATTAAGCGTGCAATTAAGTTTCTCGAAAGTTTGTACTGTACAACCATGATTTCATTTAATGTCCTTGTTTGTCTACGTTGTTTCTTTTGCTTTCCACTCTCTTTATTTGTCGTTTTCACATGAATTTATTAATTGAAAAAATCATGATTCATGTATCATTGTTCTCGTCATTCTAGAGATTTACATTTTGTGTGCAGTACTATTGTTGATAAATAATTAGGAATTACTCTATTGATTACAGTATCACAATACTCAATTTTTGCTTACAATTGTGGAGTATTTCAGATAATAATTTGATGACTAAACTGTTGATTATTTTAAATAATATTTTGATGATTGAAATGTGTAGCACAGAGATAGATCAAGTTAAAATTATGTTTGGATAATGACTCAAGTTAAATTTGGACACGTACTAAATGTAATAAATAGTGACAAAAGGATTTGGGCTAGGGTTGGACCTGGCTGTAGCCTGGTCCAGCCTCCCTTGATTCGCCCCTACTTTGATCTAGTTCTAGGTATACCAAGCTTATGATGAATCAAATTGTCCACACTATTCATAATAGAGGGCAAATCCTTCATACCCTGCCTCAATTCCAAGGTGCAACCTATCATAAAATTATGAATTCAAGCCCCTCGAATATGGTGGATGGAACGAAGGACAAAATTCAATAGTCAATAATATTACAACAATTCGTCAAGTTCCTACTTTCTAGTTTCTCTTTCAACCTCGCCTCGGGATATAAAAACGACTCTTTCCCCTTACACAGTCCCTATCACTTATGAGATTTTTTACAACATTGAATCAACGATCATTATCATGCTCTAGTGCTTTGCTTTCTTCTACTTCTTTACAAAGGTAGCGAGACATAACTAAAGATTTTGCTCTGTCCATTGTAATTAATTAAAAAATATCATATATATTACTAAAACCCATCTTATTGTTATATAAAAAATATTGCGATTGCTATACCTCCTCGTATTCTTACCACTTTTAATTTTTTTTAATTACTAATAATCACCTATAAATTGAATAATAGTTATCACAAGGATTCCTACTTAAACAAAACTCATTATGATCTTATGATGGATCTTTTGATTCCATGTCAACCGTACAAAAATATATTGCAAACCTAATGGCGGTGGTGCTAGAGGATGAGGCAGTGGCGGTTGAAGTGGTTTGGTTTAGATTTACTCGTACATGTTTTTACTTCTTCATAAAATTTTATCATTTAATATTTCTTTTGTACAGCCACACGAGAGTGGCCAAATTTTAAACAACGTAGTGAGTGACTGATTAAAACAAGGGGAATTTTCAAAACTGGCCAATTACATTCTCGTCGATTAAAAAGTGTCCAATTTTAATAACTCCAGCAAAAATGGCCAAATTTGATATCAAATTGTTTTTGATACCCTAAATGAAAATGAAATAATTTTTTTGTCTTTTCAATATCTCACAAATTTCTAGAAAATTAATGCAGCTTCCATGAAAATATACATTAATAACAAGATAATACCTAATGAATAAATGTCCTCTTATTATCTATTAGGTAATGACCAATGATTTTGAGTAGAATTGAAAATGATGAAGTAGAAAAATCATTAATGCAAAAAGCATCTACTTACACCTAAATTCATAAGAAAATCATATAATTTCGTTTCAAGAATTTTAATATCATCCACAATTCCTCATAGAAGGTAAATTTTCTTCGAAATCTCATTTTTGTTGAAAGTTTGTATATAACAGTTGCTGTGATGTATGCGATGCAGATGATCGATTAGATTTTTCAAATAATTAGTAGATACTTGTTATAAGATTATTGGAGTATTTTAAAATCAAATTCATGTTTTGTTTTGCATTTCTCAAACATGGTGTCACAACTTATTTAATTAACTTTGATAGATGGATTTGCAATGGTTGTTATGTATTGACAATGCTATTAATGGAGGAATAAATTCCTTGCAAGAATGATTGTTGAAGTTGAAGAAGACGATAAATGCATATAGTGAAGTGTTTGCCTAACATATTGTTCTGAACATTTTACAACTGTCGAGAATGACACTAAAAATGTAATTCTTGATAGTATTTCAATGTCCAGAATTACATTTTATTAACTTAGCAAAGTTACCGAAGATTTTGTGTATACCATTGACCATATTGCTTATGGGTAGCATGTTTGTTTTTGATATTTGTGTTAGCTAATCTTTTTTACATTGATGACAAATAAAAATGGGAGACGTGATGAGATTCATTATCTCGCATGGCGGTACATTGAGTGGAATTGGTTTGAGAATCGAACAGCATCAATTGTTATTTGAAGATAAATTAAATATGAAAATTGAATTATTTGAAAAATTTCATCTTGACAGAATGAAATTTCGAATCCACCTCAAATTTAAAGTTCTGAACATGAATTTCGTGAACTAAGAACGTACTAAATTTCAAACAACACCGAGGAGAAATCATATCGAAGAGCTCGTAAATTACCAAACAACATAAACTTCACCACTTCATCAACATAAATCATGACAATGACAATGAGTTACTTATTTGAAGTGGTCAAAAAATTACGATGTACAAAGACATCTACATATCCTCAACAATGGACAAAGAAGATATCTTACTACCATCATCATCGTCAGAGCTTATGATGACGACGTCTCCCATGACATTTGAACCTGGTCCAACATTGTCGACTCATTGATGTATTGAATGCCAAACAAAAGATGGTGCTCGTTCTGTGGGATTTCGACTGGGATGATCTCAGGGTTGGTATTACGATTACCAACTGTCGGTCACTTGGCTCACCTTCGTTTCCCAAATCCGTAAATTGAATTGGATGAACACTCATCTGAAGGCCACAGTTTCCAGATTGAGGAATTTAGGGAACAACGGTATGCATTTGTTCATCATCATCCGAGTCAATAATGATTGGATTGTCCGCCAAAGACCCGAGCAAGGAGAGGTCCACAAAAATATCAGTATGAGGTGTTTCTTCGATTGAAGAAGACAAGTTGAAAGAAGCTTTTCCTACTAGTAATTTCTTATGAAGAATTGTGTTTGAACATGTTCTTTCAACTCATATGCATGCTTATATAGAGGTGTAAAGCATGGTTAATGAGATGTAATTGCATTACAAAACTACACACCAACTCCCACTCCATGTATTCACAATTGATTGACATTTGTTTGACAACATAAGTTGTAGACCTCGTGCTTGACATGTGAATAGTGAAGTTGTATTTATTATCAGAATGGATTTATAACACACCTTTCGTTAAAATTGTATTTGGAAACTTCTACGTCTAATCGATTTGTTGTAAGTCTTTTTTAAATCTCATTGTAATCTTGCCATTCCGCCGAATAGTTCGAATTTGTTCTTGACATTTCATGATTTTTTCATCATTTGGAAAGCTATTATCGACATTTTTACCCTATTTATCTCGACACTTGACAGTTCATGTATCTAGAACAAAATTTCATTCCATTTCCTAGAGTTCTATACATTTCTCGAGATTCAAAGTGTTGTTCTCGACATAGGGAGAAGCGGTCATTTAATGTATGAATTGACATGGTACTTTTTCAAATTAATAGTATAGATTATGTGTCAAATTCTTATTGGCCAACACAATTTTAAATTGTATGAAAATTTTTATCTTCAGTGTGGTATTAGAAATGTCAACAAGTGTATTTTGGTCTAGATTATTGCAAAATTGACATTGAAGAAATTTTGGACATTTTTGCAAATGACCATGTGAAAATGGCTATTTCTTGCAATTTCCTCTTAAAACAATTAACATTTTTCCCGCCAAGGCTAGCTATAGACATGAAATCGACCCCCATCACGATTTTAATACTCTATCTCCTAAAATTGGAATGTTCATAACAAGTCATTTTTTTAAAAGAGAAATCTGTCCCTCGTAATTTTTTTCTTATCAAATAGTCTCAGTCAAGCAAATTATTGCATTGTCATTTATTAAAATGTTATCTAGATAGAAAAACTAGAGTGTCCACAAACTCTCATGGTTGTGTTTAGCTTGTCGAGAAGGTCCAAATAATTCAAAATGTGTGCAAAATGAAGAGACGGTTATAAATAGACTAAAAATTATTGTCAATTTTGTCTATTCCGACGATAATACCTGAATAACTCGAAATTCATGCAGTAATTTTTTTTTTTCCTGAAAATGACATTATTTACAAACGAAACAAAATTCATTATCTTATACTAAAATTGAAATTTCTCTTTCCAAAATTTAGAAATATTAAATGAAAGGGTACATTGGTAATTATGGCAATGCCTTTTTTTTTTTTTTTTTTTTTTTTAACAATTTTTGACAGAAGGTCACAGAACGTGACTCTTTTGATATAGTGAGAACAATAAAGAGTTCTTTTTCTGAATGGGAATAGAAAGGACCCTTTTGCTTTTCCTGTCTGTTTTTTGTCCCTTCGTTCATTAAAGAAATCAAAAACTGAGATACCCACTCAAATTCAAATACACACAAAATAATTTCAAATTTCAAACCTATAAATATCATAAAAAGGAAAAATTCCCATATTATAAAATATAAGGCAAGGTCTTTTGAATTCATGGAGATAAAGAATTGTTAGCCCATGTTTGGCTCAAATTTTAATTGCTTTTAATATGAGTCAAAGTCAAACAATCAATATTAATCACATCTTCCATGGTCTCACAACTTTTTAATCACACATTTCAAAAATTTCTATCAAAATTTACTAAAAATCTAATTTTAATCCTAAATAAACAATGATAAAAGTAAAGAAAAATTAATTTTGAGAAAATATTTTTTTAATAAGATTGTTTTTAACTTAATTAGCGATTTTTTTTTACTAAAAATATTTTCTTGTATTAAATCTAATGTCTTTACTTTTATCATCTTCTAATAATACAGTATAACTCTAGATGACATATTATAACGATTCCCTATCTCCATGAATTCAAATGACCGAGCCTTATATTTTTTAGGTAACAACATTATTTGACAAGGCAACAATAATTTAGTAGTAAGCCAACATGGCAACAGCCATCCGATGATTTCATTCAATATAAGCTATTACCAATGCACCAAAAAAATAGCGGCAACAAGCATAGTACTCACTAAATGGTAAATGTGTTAGTGTGTGAGACATAACTAAAGATTA